GCCAATGGAGGACTGATGTGTGTGATTATTTTCACACTCCTGCTCATCTCCTATGGTGTCATCTTGCATTCTCTAAAGAACCTTAGTAAGGAAGGAAGGCGGAAAGCTCTCTCCACCTGTGGCTCTCACATCACTGTGGTGTTCTGCTTCTTCATTCCCTGCATTTTCATATATGCAAGACCTGCTAAGACTTATCCTATTGATAAATCATTTAGTGTATTTTATACTGTCTTAACCCCTATGCTCAACCCATTAATCTACACTCTGAGAAACAAAGAGATGACAAATGCAATGAAGAAGCTCTGGAGAAGGAAAGTTATATCAAGTGTTACATGAATAAGTATGTCACCCACCACTATCAGAGTCCTTTGACAATAATTCTGTTTCCTCAGGATTCATATTTGTATTTTTATTTTTTGTTGCTGGTGTTGGGACTTGAACTTAGAGCCTGGACACTATCCTCAAGTTTTTGCTCAAGATTAGCATTTGACCATTGAGCAACAACTCCACTTTCAGCTTTTTGGTTATTACTTGGAGAGGGGAGTTTAACAAATTTTCTTGCTTGGGTTGGCTTGAATGATGATTGTCTGATCTCAGCCTCTTCAGTTGCTAAGATTACATGTGAGAGCCATCTGAAATATGATGGTAAGTTCCCTTCCCTCTATAGCATTTCTGAAAAATACAGTTAATGTAAACTATATTGGTGTGTTAATACATTTCCCTGTAATAATATAAATTTGATAATGTTTTATATATAATTTGTACTTGGAAAAGCTTAATGCAGATATATATGGGATAAAGTAATAGTATACCAGAAATTATTACAATAAAATCTTATATTTCAGTACGTTTTATTTGTGAAACTTATTCCAGTGCCTTCTCCTTATATGAAGTGTCACTTCTTTGAGCAATATTTGATTATCTAAAGTCTTTAAACTCCTGGCCAAAGAATAAAATGTTCTTCCCAGGAATTGTAATCCAAGTATGTGCTCATTTGATTTTCTTGTTTATGCATTTCATTTCCATTTGTATTGACTACTGCTTAGAAATACATTTGGGGTATTGAAGAATAATGACTACATGGTTTATGTCTTAGCTCATTTGTATGAAGTGACCATGAGGAAATTGGTTCAATGAGATATAATTTTTGGGAGAAGATTAGCATATTATGTTTTGATTTAATAGCTGGAAATTATTTTCATCTGCATCTTGGATCAAAGGCTAAATGTATCTCCAAGTAGAATAATATGGGCATTTGCCTTTTCATATATCCCTATTAGCTTTATGTAATGTTCATGCTAGCTGCTTGGGAAAATTAGTTCAAAGTTACATAAAGAAGATTTTTATTTTTGGGTCCAGTTATGGGGCCTGAACTCTGGGCCTGGGCGCTGTCCCTCAGCTCTTCAGCTCAAGGCTAGTGCTCTACCACTTGAGCCACAGCACCACTTCCCGCTTTTTTCTTTTTGCTTATGTGGTGCAGAGGAATCGAACCCAGGGCCTCAGGCAGGCAAGGCAAGCGCTCTACCACTGAGACACCTTCCCAGCCCCCATAAAAAAGATTTCTTGCTAGTGTTATGGCATGTTAGTGTTTATCACATTAGTGGTTTTCTTAGAGTTGTAATAGGTCATGTTCTCTTTCCATCATTATGTGAACTTCAATGGTTTTATCCATGTGACCAATGCTTGACTACAATGAGAAGTACAAGTTGTCATGTCCAAAACTACCTTTACAACGTCGGTGCGGGGGGGGGGGAGGGAGAAAGAAGGATTGGGATTGGGGGGGGGCTGGGAAGGGATGTGAAGGGTAAACAAAGGAGGAGGCT